GCCAGATGTATGCCAGATACTTCCGCAAAGGCACGCGCATCTACTCGCGCTCAGCGTTCTTTTTTATGCTCTAAAATGTTACATATACATTAAGTTTGCAATACATTTATGCATATTCATTTCCTGGCTCTACCTTCTCTGCTTCATGTGTTAATTAACAGCCCCTTGCACCTGCATACTTGTCTCTAATGGTCGTCTTGGGGGTCCTTGGGGTTCGCAGGGGGGTGAAGTAAGTAGGTTCCATCACAGCTGACCTTCCCATCCCGTCTTCTTGCACATGCTTACTGATCCTTTGGTCACACGAGAGATTGGTTTGATCTGGTTTGGGTGTCCAGAGGAGCCTTGTTGTCTTGGTAGTCTTGTAACTTTGTCCTGTTTTGATGAACATCATCCTTCCCTTATGACACGTCCTTGCATTCTTTCATGTTACACTCGCACGTATGCCCTGTCCCCCACGTACACCCTGTTTTCCCTTTACAGGAAGTTAGCACAGTAAAATGCAACAAATATTAAACAATATTTCATCTAAATATCTATTTCTAATCAACACCCCTCTAATTCCTAACCCATGTCTTAGAACCACACTCACCCTTACAGAAACTGCATTTGGATCAGAGCATTTTGTGATTCAAGGGCAATTTTAAAACAAAAAGAGATGAAGAAAGGAAAAATCCAGCTCAAGGTCAAAGACTGAATGAAAAATCCAAGGCCTCGAGGTATAGAGTCTCAATCCCACGGATTTTCACCTGCCAGAGACCATTTTCCCAGGCTGTCAGAAAAGTGCTTGGAAAACTAAGAAAAAACTGGCAGAAGCTGGATGGTCCTTTGTTTTTTGTTCACAGAGTAAGTAAGTTCTTTTGCAAGAACCTGAGCTCCTTAAACATGTAGGGCAGAAAAAGGAAGAATTATTGCTCTTTGAAGATGGCACTGTTTTGCCATGGAGTTGGTTTTATGACACCCAGTGGCAATGATCCGTCTGTGATGGGCAGACTCACACTAACACACAAAGACGCTCTCCATGGAGCATCGTTATAGACACATATTTTAATATTGGTTTTTCGCAAATATTAAAATGGATTTTATATGTGTGATGTTAAAGTAACTTTGTTATATAGTTTTTATTTCTGTTGTTAATTAAGCTTAGACATAGTAGTGAAATAGCTATGTTTGTGTTAAAATGCCTACTTGGATGAGATAACATCCAATGAACATAGGATGAGGACACCTGCTACAGATATGCCAATTATCAGCACTCACCATCTGAAGACGGTATGAACACAAGCACAAGATGGAAGTGATAAACAGAAGGTGCCAAAACCACAGCCAAGAAACACACATGCTCTAAAAAGGTGGACCCAAGAAGAGCCCATGTAAAACAGTCCCTGGGATATGTAAATTAGTTTATGAATATGCATATATGTCTATGAATATGCAAATAGCTGATGTAATGGAAAAGGTATTTAAGGGGTAGCCCCAAAGGTGACAGTGTTGTTATAGATGCGTAAATGGCTGGCTCTCACAATTAAGGTGTAAACAGCAAAAGAAGTTTTATAAATGTATAGTTATGTTACTGCAGGGTCCTCTCCCCAGTATGTTTTATCATGCGATAGTTTTGCTAACGCGCAGATTTGGGAAGGCTGGCTTGTTACTGTGGCAGCACCTGACCTCTAATCATAATGTGAGAAAGTGACTTCTACCACTGGACAGCAAGGAAGGAGTTGACTGACAAGGCCCTAGGAGGGGCTAGAGATATAAAAGGTGAAGCATCCATCTTGAAGAGGAGCCAGCTATGTGGTGGGCATCCATGAGGGCAGTTCTCAGGTCTGCATTTCCTTATTTAGTCCTTTTGTTGTATTTTTGTTAAGGTTTAATAAAGCCTTTAAATTTTTTAAGTGAACTGTTGTTTCTCACAGTATGGTCTTGGCTGAGTATCAAGATGCACCTGGCTGTAATAACCTCTGCTCTATGGTCCTTGTCTCCTCTTGTCCTTTATTAAACTTTTTAAATTTTCACAGGAGAGTGAACATGTTTTTCACAAAGTCACAACACCCAGGCTGGAGAACCAGGAGGCTTTAAAACAAATACTCTTCATATTAAACAAACTGCCTTAGAATGCTGCAATAGTTAAACCCTTCCAACAGTTACAGTGAAATCTGGGTTCCAGAAAGGTCATTTTTTTTCCATAACAAAAAGCTGCAAAGTGCACACAAAGGTGTGAACCTGAGGTGCCTCTGACTGTGGATTTCCCTAGATCCCCTTTGCAAGGAGGCTCGGTGAGCAGCGCCAGCAGTCCTGAGGGCCCAGCTCCCTCCGCAGGTTTGTGCCCCAGAGACACTTCCCAGCTGAGCACCGGAGGCTGCTTGGAACCTGCACAGCAACAGAAGCTTTTTACAAGCGCACAAAAAAAAAAAAAAAAAAAAAAAAAAAAAAAAAAAAAAATTAAATCAACTGTTAATTACAGTATTTTGAAGGAAACACTGTCTGCAACGCACCATAAAGCACATGGTTTTAAAATAGTTTCCCACTGGGTGTTTGAAAATGCTTCAACAACTCTCCATCAGCCTTTTTCCCCTGAGCCCAGTTCAGCCAAGCCCCACCAAGTCCCGCCAGGCTCCTCAGGGCCATAACCGGGCCGGGTCGCTCCCCTCGGAGCCCGCCGCGGAGGCGGTGCCGGCCCGGCCACACGGACCCGCCTGCGCCGGGGGCCGAGCACAGCCCTAGCAGCCGCTCCCGGTCCCCAAGACAACTGCGCTTTCATACAGCACGCACTCCCCAGGAAGGCTCCCGGAAGGCCCCGGGAATCGCCGCGCTCTCTCAGCAGCGCCCCGAGACCGCCGCTGTGCCCAGCTCCGCTCCAGGGCGGCGCGGCCCCTCCTCCTGCACAGCGGCCCTGCGGCTTCTGTGGCACCGCTGCGGCCTCGGGCAGCCGCTCCCGGCTCCCACAGCTCGCCTAGGGCCGCCCTTCCCATGCTGGAGCTGTGCCAGCGCTCCAAGCACCGAGAGGGGCTTGAAACCGCCTTGCTCAGGTTGGAAAACCTCAAGCGCCCCTTCCGGCCCTCCTTAAGGGCCCCCGAGGGACTCTAACCCTGAGGGAATGGTCCGGATCGGGACAAAGTGCTGCCCCAAGGGAGGGACTTCGAACACGCACCTCCGGCTGCTCCCTGCCCTAAAGATCCTGGGAGCTGCCCCGGTGCCGCAGATAGGGATTTGGGACAGGGAGGCTCCCTCGGGCCCGGTGCTAATGTTTAGCCCGGGGTCTCTCACTGTTCCCGGCTCCCGCACAGTCCCAGGGTGACCGGGCTCCCCCCGCCCGGCGCCGCAGAGCCCCGAGCCCATGGTCAGCAAAGGATCAGTGTCCATTCCTGGCCCCTTGCCAGGGGCTCCGGCAATTCCCCACCCCCGCACAACCTGCAGCTCCCACCGCAGCTGCCCCGAGGCAGGCACCAGGGCTTCCTCTATGAGGCCCGGATGCCTCCGACAGGGATTGAAAAGAGACTGATCCATGAGGATTCCTCTGCAGACATCTCAGTGAAGGTCACCCTGGCCACCTTCTGAGCCATAAGGCCACAGACAAGTTTCAGATACAGAACTCTGTCTAGAGCTGCCAGGGGAGGGAGGGAGGGAGGGAGGGAGGAAAGCAATAGGATACTACAGTCCTGGAGGCAGTGCCTGGGCTTGGTGTTGATATCATTTTACGGACAGATAGGTGTGACTGTCTCTGGACATTAATTCTCATGTTCAGTCTATTCTTTCAGATCTTACTTGAAGTGGGTTGGAGGCTTTGGGGGTCTTGAGTGGTCACTTCTCCCCCACCGCTAGATCAATCTGTGGTCTACCGATCCTGCCCTTTCCTGTGCTGATGCTGTCTTTAGTTTGTTGTGTCTCCAGGGACTAGAAAAAGGATGTTAGTGCCAGAAAAGTGGTGCCCTAGCCCCGCATGGCCCCTTTCACGGTCACATCATGTTCTTGGTTCTTCACCAACAGTCAGTCCTTGGATGGGTCTTGGTGTTTGAGACATCTCCATCACCCCCTTCTCTTCCGGCCTCCTCCCCATACCAACAATAAGCTGCTCCTAAGTGATCTTGGTGTCAGTTGATAAACAGATCTTTGAAAGTGTAACTAATTTAGAAAGTAAACCCTGACCCCTTTGTCTTCACCAAAGATCTATAAGAAAGGACGGAGCTGGTGTAAAGCAAAATAGGGCTTAATATTGAATCACTTTAGATTGTGATTCAATCTCTGCACCATCCCTACACCCTGGACTGAAAAATATTTCTCACTAAAAATCTAGCACTGCATTAGTATCCATGACATCCTGCCCCCAAAAGGATAACTACAGATACTAACAATGAAAAACTAGGGCACTCCAATATTAAATTAAAGCATACAGCTATTTAATAAAAGCATTTTCCCATCCCAAACCTCTGACCCTAACAATAAACCCTAATCTAACTCTAACCTACCAAACTGTAAGTCCTAGGCCTACTCCTAACCAAACCACAGCCCTAACTCTAAGCACTAACCCCTAACTGTAACCTCTAACCCTAACTATAACACAAACCCTTTCCTTTATTCTGCCCTTGGTTTCAGTGTTGGGGCCCTTGGCTGGGCTGGTGGTGTCCAGGTCATGGTGCAACCCAGGTGTTGTCCAGGTGGAGTGCTGTATTGCAGCAGGTGTTACCCAGGTGGATCCACACCTGTGTGGAACTCGGGTGTTGTCCAGGTGTAACACCATGTAGGAGTGTATGAGCTGGGTGCTGTCCAGGTGTAGTGCATTTTGCATCAGATGTTATCCAGCTGTATCTATGCCACACCTCTTTGTGACTCAGGTGTGTGTCTGTCACACCCATGTACAACCCAGATGTTGTCGCCTCTCACTGACAATTTCCCTCCTCAGCTGATTCCGCCACCTTCATGGGAACAGGTGGGGATGCATACACATTTCACTCGACATCTGTGTTTCTGCCCACACGCATTTGTGTACACACACCTGACACAGGTGTTGCTCAGCGGGTTTATTACTGTTTCCATCATAATGCAGCCTCTGTGGGGGCACATCCTTCTGTGGGGGTGGGGTGAGGGCTGTTAGGCACCCCCCCCTTCCCCAAATGTCCCAGGTGTCACCTGCTCATGACCCACAGACATACACCTGCTCCTCTGTGGTCCTGGGGGGGTTGGGGGATACTGAGAGGGTCTTGTGGGGTGGCAACGGACTCCAGGGGGTCTCAGGGGTCTTTGACAGGGTGCCAGGAGTCTCAGGGGGTCCCTCAGTGGCCTCGAAGTGGTCAACACGGAAAGCCCAGCGCCCCGGGACCCCCAGGTTGCTGCGGTGGTTGAGGCTCTGCACTGCAGGCGTGCGGGACCCTGGCACATTGTAGTAGTGGACATCGTCTCCACTGTTGAACCCAGCCTGCAGGAAGGAAGATGAGGGAACAGGGGAGGACATGAAGGGAGGGGAACAGGGGGATGGGAGAAGGTGGGGGGTAAATTTTGCCCAAATTCCCACTGAATTTTACCAAAAATGAGCCGCATTTCACCCCAAATGCACTTCATTCCACCTAAAATACCTCTGTTTTCAGACCAGATCTCCCTGATTTCACTACAAATTCCCTTAATTCTACCCCAAATTCCCTTAAATCCTACTTAAAGTCCCCCTAATTTCACCCCAAATCCCTTTAATTCCACCCAAATCTCCTTCATTCCACCCCTAAATGCTTTACCCCCGTCAAGCCCCGAATCCCTCCTAGCCGAGTGTCCCCCATCCCTTGGACTGTCCTCATCTGCACAGGGATATCCCCATGCCCAGTGTCTCCTGTCCGTCTCTGTGTCTCCACCTGTGCAGGGATGCCCCCCAGGCCAGTGTGGGGATCCCCCTGGTTAGCAATGCCAGTTGTCCACTGCAAGTCTCCGTAGTTGAGCAGGACAAAGCACGTGACACCATCTGAGGCCAGCACAGCCTGGAAGGTGTTCACCTGCAGGGGGACATTGTCACCATGTCACCGTGACCCCCAGCTATGTTTCCATCCCTGTGTCCCCAAACCATTGGTGCCACCATGGTTAGGGACATCATGGTTGAAGGTCAAGATATTTGAGCCCCTCCCCACCTTGCCCCATATCCCACCTTGTCTGAGGCAGCCCCAAAATAGGCCACACGGTCCCAGGTGGCCACGAATGCCCAGGTAGGCTGTGGAGGCGGGTCCCCGGGTGGCACAGCAGGTGCCAGGTCCTGGGCCAGGCGTGCCAGCAGCTGGGAGTCCCGGCTCTGCCGGTAGAAGACATCTCCTCCCACACGGGTGTCCACATCAGCCCAGTACGGCGCCACAAAGGGGCGATGGCCTGGCAGCGGGAAGGGCTGGGGGGTGAACTCCGGGACCATTGTCCCGAAGGACACCACGCCATTGTTGTTCACCTGCAGGCAGAGGTCACCTATGGGACACACCTGGGTGGCATCAACCACAGGGATCCTCCACGATAGTCCCAGGTACAATGTCTCCAGTCATGGAGATCACAACTATGGTGATCCCCAACTACGGTGATCTCTGTGAAGACCCCCAACCTCCAGTCAGTCACCACAGAGCCTCCCAGTATGAGCCTGGGAGCCCCACTGTCACCCTAGAATCTACCAGTATGGGCCTGGAACCCCAAAACCACCTGAGGGCATCACAGGTGTCCCCAGTGTCTTCAGGGACCCCCATGAGTATCCCTGATGTCCCCACTCACCAACATAGTCAAGGAGGAGGAGGAGGAAGAGATGATATAAACTCTTGTGGCTGCATCCAACTTGTCACCCTCCCCTTGGTGTCACCCTCCACCTGTGTTACCCACCAAATGCCACCTCCCCCATGTCCCCCCAGTCACATGACCAACATAGAGTGAGTGGTGGGCACGCCCAAAGAAGGAGAAGTTTTCCTGGAGGAAGATCTCAGGGCTCGTCCCGTCGTCCTCATGGTGGGTGGCCTCATCCCCCACCCCTGGTCCGAAGGGGTACAGGACCCTACCTGGGGACACACACCTGTCACACACCTGGGACACACAGGATGCCACCTGGGGAACACACACAGTGGTACCTGGGACCTCCCAGTGTGGAGTTGGGACCTTCCAATATGGGCCTAGACTCCCCATATAGCTCAGGGACCCCCAGTGTCACCCCAGAACCCCCCAGTGTGGGCATGGGGCCTGCTGGTAGGGGACTGAGATGTCCCAGTATGGAGCTGGGACCCTCCAGTATAAGTCTGAGACCTCCTAGTGTTGGACTGGGACCTCCCACTGTGGGCCTAGGACTCCCAGTATCACTCCAGAACCTTCCATGGGGCTGGCACCTCCCCAGTATAAGACTGGGACCCCAAACTCACCCAGGGATCCCACAGGGGTACCCAGTGTCCTCAGGGGTCCCCAGTCCTCTGCGTGGCTGAGGAGGAGAAGGATGACGACGGGGGAGACCTTCATGTGTCCAGGCCTGGGGGAGTGTGAGGGGATCCCCCATCAACCATGTCCCCACGTACCCTCTGACCTCTCCATCTTCCCCATGTCCCCAGTGTCCCCATATCCCCCCATGCCCCTCCATGTCTCCCCCAATGTCCTCAGTGTCCCCAATGACCCCCCCGTGCCCCTTGTCCTTCCCATGTCCCTCATGTCCCCCCTCCATGTCCCCCCTCCATATTCTCCTGTCCCCCCATGTGCCCCATGTCTCACATGTCCTCACTGGTCTCCCGTATTCCCCTGTGTCCACCATGTCCCACATATGCACCCATGTCCCCTATGTCCCCACGTCCCCCATGCCCACCAGTGTCCCCACTCACTGCACTCCCATGGTCCCAGTCTGTCCCAGTGCTGTGACTGGAGCCACTTTATGCCCAGGGAGGGGACAGGCTGGGGGTGGGGGATGACATGGGACACCCCCAGGTGGCACCTCCCAGGGCCCCAGGCAGTTCCTTCTCTGCCCAGACTGCAACTGGGGGGGACTGGAATGGACTGGGACGGACTGGGGGGGACACTGAGGTGGAGGCTGGGATGTGCTGGGGGACACTGGGAAGGCTGGAGGGGACAGGTGGGGAGGGGGCACTGAGTGTAACAAGGATGCATTGGGAGGCACTGGGGGTCACTGGAACATTCTGGAAGACACTGAGAATGTTGGAGGGTCACTGGGGAGGGAAACTGGGAGGGACTGAGATGCATTGGGAGGCACTGGGGGATGCTGGGACATACTAGGGGACACTGCAAGGCTTAAACGGGCACTGGGGGGACACTGAGTGACACTGGGATGCAGGAGGAGGGACTGGGGGGACTGGGACAAACTGGGAGGGATTTGGGAACACCATGGGGAATAGTGGCAGAGGACTGGAATGCACTGGGAGGGACTGGGGACAATGGGGGTACACTGGGGCCAGCTGAGTGGGGCTGGAAGAGACTGGGGGGGTAGGGGGTAGTTGTACTGGGAGAGACTGGGGGTACCAGGAGGCACACTGGGGCGGACTGGGAGCTGGGTACTGGCACGTGCTGGGAGGAACTGGGGATACTGGTGAGGGGTCACCTCCAGGTGTGCCGTGGCACACACCTCCCCTGCTGGACTCGGATGTCCGGGAACCCCCTCCCCTCCCCTCCCTGGCACCAAACATCCGGGTGCCCCCCCGCCCTTCCCTCCCCGTGGGACTCGGGCCTTGGGAAATATTGACCGACGGGGGAAGGGGGGACACGGAACCGCCCGCGGCAGGACGGGGTGGGAACAGCCCTCCCCGCCTCCCCACTGCCCCCCAGCATATCCCCAAACTCCTGCTTTCCCAGAATTCTCAGGATTTTATCCCAGATCACCGGCAAACGGCGCTTTCTGTCAGGTTTCATTTTGGGGGCGAAAGCAGAGTTTTGGGACTTCTAAAAATCCGGGTTTTCCGGATCTGAGGATGTTTGAGGATGACGTCAATGATAGGGCGCGGCCACCCAGGTGAAATGTCAATTTTCCACATCACTGGGTGGGAAGAAAGGCAAAATCGAGGGGGACTTCCTGGCAGTTTCCCCAACTTAGGATCTTTTTCCCCCTTTTCTGGACTTGAAAAAAAATAAATAGACTTACGCCTATTTTTTAACTCTTTCCACTCTGTTGTTGGTCTCTTTCCCCAATTTGAGATCTTTCTCAAGGCTCTTTCCCCCTTGTTTATTCACTTTTCCCTTGCTTTCTACTCTTTTTCCCGCTTTTCTTGTGCTTCTCTCCCACTCCTCTTCCCCTCTTTGTGTGGGGTTCTTTCCCCCGTTTCTGATGTCCCTCTTTTTTTGTCCCTTCCCCCTATTTTTTGCACACTTGCTCACTTTTTAATATTCCTTTCCCCCATTTTTGGGTCCTTTTCCCATTTGTGGTGTCTTTTCCCATCCATTTGAGTTTTTATTCTCATTTGGGGGGTTCTTTCCACCCTTTCCCCCCCCCCCCCTTTTCTCCTTTTTTGAGCTCTTTCCACTTTTTCAGTTCTTTTCCTCTGTTGGCTCCCTTCCTCATTTACAGGTCTATTTTACCAACTTTTGGGATTATTTCCTGCCCCCCATGCTCTCGCTCCCTTTTTTGGTCTCTTTTCCTGAATTTTGGGGTCCTTTCCCCAGTTTTGTCTCTTCCCCCTCTTTTTGGTCTCCTTTCCCATCTTTTCGGGGCTCTTTTCTCCCTTTTGGGAAACTCCTTTTCCCCTTTTTGGTCTCTTTTCCATCTTTTGGGCCTTCTTTCCCCTTTTTGGGGATCCTTTCCCTCTTTTTTTGGCTATTTTTCAACCCTTCTTTGGCACTGTTCCCCCTAGTGCCACCCCCAAGACATCCAAATGCCCCCAGTCCCCCCTCCCCCAGTGTCCCCCTGGTGTCACCCACCCGGGTGACGCTGGGCACACGCCAGGCCGTGGCCAGTGCTCACACACTGCTCGTCACCGTCAGGCCCTTGCAGGTCGTTGCTGGTGGCACCGTCGCAGCTGCCACAGAGGCCACCGAGCGTGGCCTGGTCACCTCCACTGCCGCCCCCGCGGCCCCCGGTTCCACCAGAAATCCCGGGGTGATTCGGAGCGTCGTGTGCGTCTCCGTGATGGCCAGTGGTCCCAAGAACTCTGTGAGCTGGAAAACACCGAATTAGGGGGGAAAAGGGGATTTGGGGCGATGCAGGGGTGAAGGGTAGTTGGAGGAATCTGGTTGGAAAAGAGGGAGTTTGTGGAAAAATGATGGGATGCATCAAGGCGTGGTGGGGGTAGGATGAGGGACAACACATGTAGGTGCTTCTCTGACATGAAACTGGGAGAATAAGGAGCAATTTTGGTAAAAATTTTGGGGTGCGTCAGTTTTTGGATGTCTCTTAGTGACCATGGCCCACACAGGTGCTTCACTGGGAGCAGAATAGAGCAATTTGGGGCAAAATTAAGAACATCCTGTGATGCTGGTGGGATGAGACAACCCATGTGGACTCTTACTGGGAATGAAATTAGGGAAAAAATACAGGGTTCTTTTTTAATTAAAATGAAGGTCAGAAGGACGTTTAGGGTGACAACACGCAATGGTGACGACATTTTTGGGCACCAGCCAGGGTGGTGATGACTCACCCAGACCTTCCTGTTCCTCTGCACAGTGATGAGGCCATGGCGGGTGAAGAGGTGAAATGCCACCACTGCCAGCTGGTCCCCGAGATCCTTGACGTCCCCCAGCAGCTGGAACCACACGGGGTCCCGGGGGTCACACACGCTGGCCGCCACACAGATGCCGGTGGCTAGGGTGGCCCCGGTGACACCATCACAGGTGACGAAGCGGGTGGCAGGGGACAGGGTGCAGTGCCCCAGGTGTGCGATGCAGGTGTGGCTGCCGTCATGGAGGCTGCAGATGTGGCTGAAGGGACAAGTGAAGGGGTGGAACTGGAAGCCCCCGGGCCCCAGGAAGGTGCAAGACTGGGAGCAGTCAGAGGTCAGGATGGTCTCAGCGATCTGTTTTCCATGGATAAAATGTGGAAAGTGGGGAAAAGTGGCCTAAAATGGCCCAAAAATGCGGATGACAATGCTGTGAGGTCTCAGGGAGGGAGGGAGGGAGGAAAGGGGCCCATGGCTCCCATATTCCCCATGTGTCTTCATATCCCCAGTGGGTGCCCATGGGGACCAGCAGCATGTCCCCAGCATGTGGCCATATACCCACATGTCCCCTTGTCCCCTATGGGGCGCACACTGGGGGGACTGGGACCTGCTGGGGGACACTGGGAGCACTGGTGAAGACACAGGGAGACACTGGGATGTGCTGGGAGACACTGGGAAGGACATTAAGTTCCCCCACTAAGAAACTGGGATGCATTGGGAAGCACTGTGGGGGGAACAGAGTCAAGTTGGGAGGGATTGGGAACGCTGTGGGGGAAATTGGGGGAGGACTCGAATACCCTGGGAGGGACTTTGGACAATACCGGGAATACCGTGGGAGACTGGAGGGGAGGAGAGACCCTGATCTCTCTCACCCCTGGGGTAAAGGGGGATCCACTGGGGGATGTGTTTGGGGGAAGTGGGACACACGGGGAGAAATGGTGATGTGGGGGATGCTGGGCTCTACTGGAAGGGACTGGGGACACTGTGGGAGGCACACTGAAGGGACCCGGGATCACCATGGGGAGCCTGGAAGGAGCTGGGCTGGAACTGGGCTGTACTGGGCGGCACTGGGGCCGCACCCACCCGAAGGAGTGCCCCTGGTGCAGGCAGCCGCAGGTGCTGGGGGGACGCCGCGGGCCCGTGGAACAGCAGCCCCTCGGAGCACTGACACCCTCAAAGCAGCGCTCGCTGCAGGGGGGACGCACCTGCACAGGTGTGCTCACAGGTGCGGCCACACAGCTGCTGGTGGCTCTTGGGGGGCAGGTGAGAGCTGGGAAAGGGAGGGAGGAAACAAAGGGGGGGCAGTGGGGGGCAGTGGGGCTACTGGAGGGTCATCTGGGGTCAATAGGTGTCTCCTGGGATCAATGCCATCCCATCTGTGGGGCGGGTGCTCCCATGGGGCTCCCATTTGGGGATGGGGGGCCCCACTGGTTGCACAGGGTTCCACTGGGGGACACAGGCTTCCCGTTTTGGGAGGTGTCCCCTTTGGGACTGTAATTTGGGCATTTCCCAGATGGGGCCTTAGCAATGCAGACATGTACCCCTTTTTCCATGCAGGAATGAGACCTTGCTCCATTTCACTCCCCCAGGCCTCCAAATTCCCACCCCCACCAAAATTTCCACTCCATGCGCAATTCCTGTCCCCACAAAAATCCTGACCCGTGAATTCCCATCCTCCCAAAACTTCACCACCCCAAATTCCCAACTCCAAACTTCCTGTCACCTCAAATTCCCGACCCCCCCCCCAAAATTCCCAACCCCTCCATGTACTCACGGCAACCTGTGACCTGCCGACACTCCTGGAGCACCCCTCCTGCTGCCTGGCACGAAGCTGTGTTCGCATCTGGCACTTGCAGCTCACCAGGTACATGCGGGGCGGCACTGCCCCGTGACACCCCGCAAAGGGTCCCTCGGGGTCCGTGAGCACAGCACTGTGACTGGGCCTTGGAGCAGCTGGGAGTGGGTGCCAGGTGGGCGCAGTTTGGGGGGGAGCTGCCCAGAGCCTCCCCAGCGGAGTTGTTCTCGTTGGGGTCCCCACTGAAGTTGCTGCAGAGACCCCGGGGGCGGCAGGATGTGGGGGGCAGCGTTAGCATATGTTGCCTTCGTAGAGGATTTGGGGGCCCCCCTGGACCTGCAGCAGCCAGTGGGACCCTACCTGTGCCATCCCCACCATGCCCCCACACAGCCACAGCGACAGCAAGTGGCACTCACCATCCACCCAGAGGAGACAGGGGTGAGGATCCCGAAAGGGAAGTCAGACCACAAAAGGTGGGGTTAATCCCCCAAAATAGGGTTTGCATCCCCAAAATCAGGGCTTGCACCCCCAAAACTAGGGTCTGGACTTCCTTCTGTGCACCTCAAACCCATGGTTTACGTCCCAAAAAGGGATGGTGATTACATTCCAAAATGAGAGTTTTCAACCCCAAAATCATGGTTTGCACCTCAGTCACATGGTTAGCACCAGAATGGGTCTGTACACATCAGAGCACACACCAAAAGTGGTGGGTGTACCCCAAACAGGGTTTGTACCTGTGAAGTCAGGCTTTCACTCCCAAAAGCATTGCCCTCAAAACACGGCTTGCACCCACAAAACAGGGCGTGCAGCCCAAAGTCAGAGCTTTCACCCTAAACAAGGCCTTTCCTCACTGCTGCACCTCCCAAAACCCCATTTCCATCCCCCTTTTTGCCCCTCAAATACCTTTTTGACCCCAAAACTTGGGCTTGCACCCCCAAGCCCCCAGGGCCTCCACTCACCACCACCTCCCACTGCTGTCCCCTGTCCATCACCACGGTCACCCGGTACGCCCTCACCATCACCTGCTGCACTTCCATGTCCTCCTGCTCCAAGGCCACTGTGATAGGCTCCAGCTCTTCTTTAGGCTCACCCCTTTCCAACTCCAGCAGCAGGGGGGTGCAGGACCCCCAAAATTCCCCAGGTGCCCATCGAAGGTGCTGTAAGCCCCTGCCCCCAAAATCTGGCACTGGCTGCAGGTGCAGGGGTGGCACCCCAGTACCCCATCCTACACTGTGCATTCCTCGTCACTGGAGCAGCCTGGAGTGGGGTGACACTCCAGCCCCCCATTTTCAGAGCAGATGCAGCTCTAAGTGCAGGGGTCTCAGGGTAAAACTGCACGCCCCAGGGGTAGTAGCGGCCCTCCAAGACACAGTCGCATTGGGGCAGGGGCACGCAGTGATCCCTGCTCTGGAAAAATCTAGGATCACAGAAACAACCTTCAAAGTGTGTGGAGGCATCAGAGCAGTCCTGAGGTCCAGCTTCGCCTTGGCAGGTGGGGGGCAGGGGGCGGCCACAGAGCTCATAGTGCTGGTTTGGGGAGCACACAGGGCCTGCCAGGAAGGGAGAAGGGTTTGGAACACCAAAACCCCCACAAAAACCCCCTACAAAGCCTCAAAACCCTAATGGACATCCCAAACTCCCATGGATAACCCAAAACTCCCTTGTCTGAGCACTAGAACCCCTCATCCAGGCCTCCCCTTGTGCAGACCCCAAATCCCCCATGGAGACCCCAAAACCCCCACTGACACCCTAAAGCTCCCAATGCAGACCCAAAAACCCCTGGGAACACCTCAAACCTGCCATGGAAACCCCAAGACCCCCACAGACAGCCCCCCCTCCCCTTCTCCCTGCCAGACACCCCAAATACCTGCACGGACAGCCCAAAACTCCTTGCCTAACCCATGTCCCTCTCTGCCCTCCAAACCCCCCCGTAATCTCCCAAGCCCCCCAAGTCCCCCCATACTGCAGAAGGCAGCCGTTCTCTACGGCCGCACGGCAGTGCCCTGGCTCTGCCACCCAACAACATAAGTGGCCATGGACTGGCACGCAGTGTCCTGGTGGCCCTTGAACAGGAAGGCATCAAAGAGACAGTCATCCAAGTAAGGGCTGGGGTTGATGATGTCGTGGCAGGTGGGAAAAGGCACCCATTTCTTCCCCAGCAGCCCAGAGTGCTTGTCCCCACCGTAGGCATGGTTTTGGGCATCGCTGCATACCTGGTAGCCCTTGCTGCACCCAGTTGAGCACCCAGGGACATCACTGACCTTCCAGCTGTCCCCCAGGTGGGTCTCATTGTCAGCGTCGTGGCCATCGCAGCTGACACAGTTGTTCTGGGGGTCACCATTGCCGTTGCCACAGAGGCTGCAGATGGCACGGGCGTAGGTGTTGGGGATGATGACACAGGCGTTGCTGTACCAGTCAAAGGGACTTGCCCAAGAGGGAGAGTTGGAGCTAGTGGTTGTGGGTGAAGGGAAGGTCCAACAGGACACCAGTTAACCTGGAAAGAGAGTCACAGGTGGCAAAAGGTCACGCAATGAATTTGAAACTCACCCAGGTGTCATACAATGACCTTGAAGACCATCTAGATCCCGCATGATGACCTTGAAACCTTCCTGAAGACCATACAATGACCTTGAAACCTAACCCAATGCCATAGAATGACCCTGAAACCCACTAAGATGTCACACAATGGCTTTGTAGCCCACCAAGACATCATGCAATGACTTTGAAGCCCACCAAGGTGATTTTGTAGCCCACCCAGATTCCACCCCAATGACTTTGAAACCCATCTAACCACCATACAAGAATCTTGAAACCCAACCAGATGCCTTGAAATTACTTTGAAAACCACCTCAACACCTTACAAGGACCTTGGAACTCCACCCAGGTGTCATGTGATGACCTTGAAGGGCACCTGGGGACCATACCATGACCTTGAGCTCTTCCCAGGTGCCATGTAATGACTCCGAACTACTCCCACCAACTCCTTCATCCCTACCTTGACCTCCTGGGGATGTTCCTGGCTGAAGCTGAGGGTCATGTTGTACACCTCCACGGTGACCACCTTGGTGAAGGAGACCAGGCGGCTGCCATGGTGATTGTTCTCCGCAGTGACAGCAAAGGGGATGAGGGTTGGGTCAGCGGAGCAAAGCCCCACCGACTGGTGGACACAGGTACCCGTGAAGTTGTAGCAGTGCCCGTCGAAGGTGGTACAGTGGGGGTCACCAGTGGCCACACAGATGGAGGTCTGTTGGCCACGCACTGCCGCACGCCCTTCACCACCGCGCACACCTCACCCGGCTTACACCCGGAGTCCTCGCACACCGCCATTCCCAGCTCCATGTCACACCTGCACCTGGAGTGACAGGTGTCATCGCCCCAAAACTCCTCACCAGGACGGTAGTAGCGGCCGTCACGGGTGCAGCCACAGCAGGACAGCGGCACGCGCTGTCTGCCGCTGAGCACTGGTCGGTGCTACAGGCACAGGTCTCCACACAGGGCTGGTCACAGGTGGCTGGACTGTCCCCGTCGGAGCAGGTGGCTGGACAGGCATTGCCACAGGGCTCATAGCGGCTGTTTTCAGGGCAAGGTAAGGCTGCAGGGGGAGAAAACTGGGATGAGGGTGGGATTAGGGGAGTGGACAGCATTCAGCAGAGTCGGTGGGGATTGGAAAAGGATCTTGAACATGGGGAAGGGTCTGGAAAACAAGAAGGGTCGATTGCAAGGAGGAAGGCCTGGGAAATGTGGGAAGAGACTGGGACAAGTGGGATGAGGTCTGAGCCATGTGGCAAGGGTCTGGGCCATGCTGGATGGGGTCTGGAATGCACAAGATGAAGTTTGGGACACAATGAGAAATTTCACAGAATTTCACAGAATGCCTAGGTTGGAAGAGACCTTAAAGATCATCGAGTCCAACCCATGCCCTAACACCTCAACTAAACCATGGCACTGAGTGCCACATCCAGCCTTTTTTTAAACACATCCAGGGATGGGGATTCCACCACCTCCCTGGGCAGACCATTCCAGAAGTTATCACTCTTTCTGTAAAAAACATTTTCCTAATATCCAACCATTATTTCCCTTGATGTAGCTTGAGACTGTGTCCTCTGCTCCTGTCAGTTGTTGCTTGGTGAAAGAGACCAACCCCCACCTGACTACAACCACCTTTCAGAAAGTTGTAGAAAGTGATAAGGTCACCTCTGAATCTCCAGGCCTGGAACATGTGGGAAAGATCCGGATTCTTGGAAAGATGGACTGGGTTCTGGGACACAAGAAGCAGCTGGAGCACCAGGAGAAACTTCTGGAGAACTTCCAAGGATCACCTGAGGGATTTGAGGGCTTCACCCAGGATGGATCCCACTCCATTCCCCTCCTCCCCACTCTGGCTCCTTCTCTTCTCAAAGAAAACCTGTCCCAGGGTGACGGATCGACCTTGCCCCGTCGCTCAGACACAGGTCAGACAGGCAGTTGCGATAGAAGCCATGAGGCTTCGCTATGTCGTGACGTGCTCTGAAGAGCCCCTGGAAGGATTTTTTCATGATCCTACACCAGTGGTTCCCTCCATAAAGCTCCTTCTTCTTCTCATCACATACTGGGCATGCTCCATCACAATAATCCCAAGAAATCAGGTCGCCCTTGGAGCCAGCGCTTTTCCAGCTTTTGGCCCATGTGACAATTGCAGTGATGTTGTCACCAGCCTTGGGGACATTGTCAAGGTTGAAATTCCCACAGACGCCGCAGATGTGGCAGAAGTAGCTGCTGGGGAGGTTGATCAGGAGGTGCCAGTTCCAGTCATAGAAGACCCAGAGACCAAAATCTGTCTCCAGAGCAACACGGAACCCACTGGGACATACCTTCCCATCTGCCAGGAGCACTGGGAGCAGCATCACCTCCCCGTTCACCTGCCAATGGCCCAACATTCCCAGTTATCTCAATGTTTTATTCTCAACATACACCAATATTTTATTCCAAATGTATCCTAATATTCTATTCCTCATGTATTCCAATTTTTTATTCCCAGCATATTCCAACACTAAATCCCATCATATCCCAACATTTTACATCTTATATATCCCAACATTTTATTCCTGACATTATTACTGACATGCCCCAACATTCTATTCTCACCATGACCCAATATTTTATTCCCAAAATATCCAAACACTCCACAGTATTTTATTCTGGCTGCCTCCCAACATTTTATTCCTGAAATATCCTAATATTTTATTCCCTAGACAGACCAACATTTTATCCCAGTTTATCCCAACATCTTATTCCTGTTTTTTTGCTGGCATATCCCAACATTTTACTCCCAGCAAATCCCAACATCTTATTCCAATCTTATCACAACATTCTGTTCCTGACATATCCAAGTATTCTATTCCCCATATTTTGTTCCTACCATTTCTCAACTTTTTATTCCTGACATATCCCAACATTTTATTCCCCAAATTTTCCCAACATTTCAACAATCAGCCTCCCAATCTGACTGATTTATCCCAAAATAACATTGGCACTGCTGGATGAAGAAGGAGGTAGGGAAGAGCTGGATGAAGCAAAAAGTTGGGAAAAAGCCCAAATTCTCACATTTCCACCCAACTCACCCAGACTCTTCCATCTCCATTCCAGCAGAAGGAGATGCATTGTCCGTAGATGTCAACATTGACCAAGGAGACACAGTGTCACCATTGAGTCAGGAACGGGAATGAAGGCAACACAACTCCAATGATTTTCAGAAGGCATAAAAGCTCACTTATTACAAAACTTCATGTTTTTATAAGCAACATCGTTCACCCAGAACCTGATTGGTTCTTAATAACACCTGTCACCCCATTGGTTAATTAGGAACAACACCATCTTTCCATGACATCACGTATAACACGTTCCACACATTCACAAACACCAGCTGCAGAGACCAAGAATTATTTTAATTCTTTTCTCTGAGCTTCTCACAATTTCCCCAGGAGGATGCCTGGGAAACATTCTGTTTCTCTCTGAGAATGTCCACAATTGCCCCTTTTTGTTTAAAGGGGAAGGCAGCGTTTGTAACCCTCTGCAGGGCCCCTTGCAGAAAGGAGAAAAAACACAGCTCAAGAGGTTTATCAGTTGTCAGTCAGAAGCTCAATCAGACGCTAACTCAGAACGACTCAGAGAGATTTCCAACATATACCACTGAATTCTCTGCAATCCCATCCTTTTACCAACATCAAGTCTTGTTCCTTCTTACAAGGAATCAACTATTAATTCTAAAAAATAATTTACTAATTCTAATACAGTAACAAAGCATTGTTAGTCTGCTTTAAAAACTGGCAGTCTAACTTGTCAATAACCCTTTTCCAGAAACAAAGAAAAGATAGAATGTTCATTCCCCACTCATAGAAGGGCCATCTTATTAATGGTTGGCATCTTGATCATCGTTAGAAGGTTGCCTGCTGGCCGCATTCTGGTTTTGGTGTCACAAATCATGGCAAACACACCTTGCAGGTACCCACCGTACCCCAGTATCTGTGGAAATGCATGCATACCCACAGCCACAAGTGATGAGGTTGCACGGGCCCTCCCACTTATTCATGGTTAGGTCCAGTATCCAGACTTTTGCTTGAGGCAGGTGTGTCTCGCCTGAAGACTGAGATATGATGAGATGAGATATGACAATGAGAGAAAATTATCTAAAATGACAGGATTGTTTGAATTTTGTGGCACTGTAAGATGACTGATTGTATAGAGAGCTTTTTCCAACTGACTGTGCACGGTTTCTTCAGACATTCCCCGTTTTTGTTTTTCCAGAACATGCTTTTTTCCAGAACATGAGTGCATTCAACGATAGCTTGACCAGCTGGAGAATGTGGAATACGGAGTTTGTGTGAGACTCTCCATAAGCCAAAAACTGCCGTGTCTTCTGCAAGATGTAGGCAGGGCCATTATCAGTTTTCACAGAAGAAGGTATACCCAAAATCGCAAATGCCATCCTCCAGTGGGAAATCATGTCATAACCCTTTTTTCCAGTATGAGCAGATGCCCACATAGCAGAGGAGAAAGTGTCAATAGACACATGCACATGCTTAAGTCGGCCAAACTTGGCAATATGAGTAAGATCTGTTTGCCAAAGCTGCAAGGCTTTTAGGCCTCTGGGGTTCACCCCCGCTGCTAAAGGTGCAGCAAGGCCATGACAGTCAGCACAAGAACTGACAGTGTCAAGTTGTCAACTGACAAGCCTCAGTTGGTGTTAACTGAAATTGTTTCTGCAGGGTATGTGTGCTTTGATGGAAAAAATCATGCGATGCTTTGGCTTGTGCAATCTTGTCAGGCTGAGGAGCTACCCGCGCAGGGTCAGCTAACCTGTCCGCCCTGGCATTGCCTTCTGTTATGAAAATTGGTGAGACTCCAAATGTGCAAGATGTAATATGAATGAACTCTGAATTGCACCACAAAGCTTTCAATAAGTGAAACAAAACTGTGTTATTGACCTCTTTCAGAGGTGAATAATCCAAAAGTTTGGCTATGTCTGTGACATAGGCAGAATCAGTGACCAAGATCAGAGGTACCTGAGAATATTTCTGGAATGCCATGGCCACAGCCTTTAACTCAACCAATTGGGCCAAGCCTGCCTGACTCGTGGCCTTCTAGCACTTGCCACCCAGATTCATCTTTCCAAGTAACAATGGCTTTCCCCATTTTTCCGGAGCTGTCATGAAGATGGCGGGGCCTTGCACGGGCACCCGACTATTTTTTAGCTGCAAAGACAGGCTGGTTGATTTTGCCAACTGCAATAACTTATGACTGGGCAGATGACAGGCAATCTGCCCTGAAAAGTTTTGCAGTGCACTTTGCAAAGGAGCGCTGTTAATGAAGCTCCATTCAAAGGCTTCCTGCTCTACCAGGACAATAATTTTTCTGTGATCAGTTGCCATTAATTGCAAACACTGTTGACGGCATTTGATTATCAAATGAGCCATTAATTCAAACAACATGGGTGCTGTCTTTTCTGGTTGATGGGGCAAGAAGATCCCTTCCAAAATGTGCAAGGGATCAGACCATTTGTCACTCCATTGGCCAATGTTACCTGTAGGATGAAAATCTGGTTTGGTAACGAAAACAGTGATATCAATGGAAGGATCTACTCCATAAACCTGACCAGCAGAAACAGCTTGTTGGACTTCCTCCACTGCTCGTTGCACCTCGGGAGTAAATTTTTGAGGTGATCTCAGGTCAGGGTTTCCCCTTAGAATATTATATAGGGGGGACAATTGTTTCATGCTTAGCCCCAAATAAGGATGCAACTAACTGATGACACCCAGCAATTTCTGGGCATCATTCAGAGTCTTAATAGAATCCACGAATTGCACCTCTTGATACTGAGTGGTTTGATCCAGAATTTTGACTCCTAAATATTTCCAAGGAGGATGCTGTTGAACCTTTTCCGGAGACCCTTGTAGCCCATAAGAACACAGCGCAGCAAACAGCTGAGGCTGTATCCTCAGCAACTTATCCCGGGTGGATGCTGCCACCAGGATTTTGTCCATGTGGTGATAGCAATATGCTTCAGGAAACTACTTGCAGACTCCAGACAAGGCCTGAGCCACATACCACTGACAAATAGTTGGGATGTTTCTACAGCCTTGTGGCACAACTTACCATTGATATCGCTGCACAGGTTCAGCATTGTTAATTGCAGGTGCAGTAAAGGCAAACTTTGTTTTGTCATCAGGATACAAAGGAATTGTGAAAAACCAATCCTTTAAATCAATTATCAAAACTTCCCATGCAGTGAGGAGCATGGTGGATGAAGGCTGCAGTGCCCCCATACTTTCCATCACTGTATTAATTTTCTGGAGGTCCTGTAACAGCCTCCATTTCCCAGATTTTTTCTTTACCACAAAGACAGGAGTATTCCAGGGATTAGTAGAAGGCTGAATGTGTCCCTGCTGAAGTTGTTCCTGAACCAATTAATGAAGAATAGCAACCAATTTTTCCTTTGTCAGGGGCCACTGGTTCTCCCAGATGGGTCTGCTCACTAGCCACCCTAAAGGCAGCGTAGGATACTTTTCACCCTTCAGCACAGTGACCCCAATTAAAAATGCATCCCAGTTCATATCCCCCAGGCTGCCAATGCATCCCACCCCCAGAGACTGATTTGAGCTGCAGTGACATAAGGCTGAACTGTAGCCACCTGCCTGTCTATGTTTTTGATCAACACAGACTTATAAAGCTCTGCATTGCAACCCCCAACCCTTCGATGGCTGGACCCACAGAATCCAAAGGCCACGGAGGAGGCCACACACAGAAGGGGATGACTGTTACATCAGCTCCTGTGTCAATCAAACCTCAAAGTTGGATCTGAGGCAGGGTGGCATCCGGTAGAATCACGGTACGTGTCATCTGCGGCCGCTGAGCA